CCAATACCAAAATCATCATACGGAGCTATTTTCAGACTCGAAATTCCAAACGGACATCGATAACACCGAAAGGCACTTCAACCCAAACTATTGAAATTCTTCCAAAAATGCTAGCTTCCACCATGGGCGCCGAAAACTCTCCCGGGTCATCCAAAACCCGATCCGGAGATACGCCCAAGTCCAAAATCATCATACAAACCTCCAGAAACCTTCAAATCTCGATTTCAAGGTCGTTTACTCAAAATTCCAACCTTAACCAATTCTTCCAACTTAAAGTTTTCGAAATGAAAATTCTCTTTCCAAATTGACTCCGAACTTCCCGAATTTCAATTCCGACCACGCGTACAAGTCATAATACTTGAAATGAAGCTGCTCATGGCTTCAAACTGCTGAACGACGCGCTAGAGTTCAAAACGGCCGGTCGGATTGTTACGATTAAGTTATCTAATTGTCTATTTGATATATTCAGGCATCATTTCTCAACCTTTTTATATCAAACTTACACTAATTTTGAGAAATAAATTTATAAATAGTTGAAAATATAATAAAGTGCTAGAAATATCACATTTGGAAAAAAACTGTTACGTTCTCCACATTAGTAGTCTTAAATAATCGAAACGAAGAAAGCACTCGATATTAACATGAAGGCGGCGTCTTTGCCTGGAAAATCTACTTAATATGTCTATGCATATTGTAGGCAAAAACTTTAAAAGTGAGGTCTCGTGTTCGATTCTGCGTACCATGCTTGTGTGTGTTTTAATTTTCTGTAACTTTCTCTGCCATAAAATAGACGTCGTCTTACCTGACAAGGAAAACTAATTCAATGTGACGATAAACAGTTTTCTTCTGAAATTGAATTATTTCAAAAAACTTAAAATTCTAACTATAAATTTTTTAGGTTTTCTCTGCAATTTGCAATATCTATTCATCAAATATAAAAGGTAACTCTGAAAAGATTACTCTTTCTCTGCAATTTGCAATTTTTAGGGATTTCTAAGTTCTCTTGGTATCCTCCCCCCCCCCCCCCCTTTTTTTTTTCTTTCTAGCCGGGATTTCATGATGATTCTATTATTTTCTTTGTGGGTTAAATTCTATAAAATTATTTAAGGTTTATCTCTATGAAGCTGGATGGTTATTTTGTGTCTTATATAGAAAGAAGAAAAAAAATATTTTCTCCGCCCTATTTTATGTGTATGTGTTAGTACTATTTAGGGAGTTTAAATAGTTTTTCAGTAATTACGACTTTGTCAAACTCTTTTTAAATAATTTGAATATTTAATTATGTTAACTCATAGTGCTTTTTATGCAATTAAGCATTGTAAAGATCAAGTAGCGAGGTTTTGATAGAATAATAACTGATACTTATGTCGTACTCCATCGGTAATATATAAATGTAAAAGGACACTAAAAGCATGAAGTTTCATTATAGATTTGATCTCATATGTATCCTCTTAGTCACGAAAATATTCATGCATGATGTAGACTTATATCTGGGATATGATTAACACTAATCTGCAGTTTACACCACTGGATCATAAAAGTGGTTGATCCGCCGTCTTCCAGATAGAAAATTTTACTCTCACAGATAGAAAATGTGAAAATAGGAATAGTAGCTTTTGGAGTCAATTTCTCAGTCACTTTACTTTATTTTGTAACCGGAAAGTCATCATACTTTGCACATTGTAACTCAAAAGTCACTCAATACATTTAGAGCATATTTTTCACATTGTTTTTAACTCAATCATTTAAAAAATATTTTAAAAAGACACCCATTTAAACCGTGACTCAACTCGCTCTTTGACCCGATCCACTTTCTCTTATTTTTGTTACAAAAAATGTAAATATTACTTTGCTGTTTAATTATCTTGGTTTTCATGGTTTAAGCAAAGTATTAAATCAGTTTGACTATAAATAGTCTTCTAGTAACATTATCTTTACTACAAGCAATGCGCGTTCTTGTTCTAAAACATCAAGAATATTGTCTTTTAATATATTATTATATTAATATTTCTCAATCAAAATTCAAGCATAAATAACTTTTTTCAGTTTTCCTTCCTCCTTTTTATTTTCTTCCACTTCAATGCTGCTAATTTTCTTGTTTCACTGTCAAATTTAACTCCTCGAGTTTGTTAATATTATTTTCTTATTCTCTATTTAATACTCTTAAACCAATGTATACGTTCAGTATAACTATATTGAGAACGAATATAATATACTACAACAAAGTAATATTTATGTTTTTTATAACAGAAACAAAAGAAAATAGGCCGGGTCATGGAACAGTCGAGTTTGATTTAAATGTTTTTTTTTAAATGGTTGGGCTGAAAAGAAATATGAAAATAATGTTTAATAATGCCTTAAAAGTGTTGAGTGACTTTTGAGTTACAATGTGAAAAGTATAATGACTTTCGAGTTACAAAACAAAGTAAAATGACTTTCATAGATAATTTCTATTAGTGCAGTGACCATATGAGTAATGGATTCGTAGCTTTTGGTTCAAATTTTTTTAAAAAAACTGTCAAACCGAAAATTATTTCAAAAACATTAAACAAATGCCCTGCACCTAAATGCCGACTCCTAATGTCGTTGTTAAATATTTGGGTATTTAGGGTGATAATCTATACTATATTAAAAACACGAAGGCCTTTAGCGAAATATCGTTCGCCTTTTTTACCCTTTAAAAATAGGTTATATATTGGATATAATCGTAATTTAGTTATTCTCCTAATATTTAAGATTTTAAAATAATCTAAAATTATAGTTATTAAATATTACCTTATTCGAACTACATATGTCTACCTAATTATTAGGAATTCAAAATCAAATAGAAAATTAATTATAAATCTTTTGCTTATTTGAATTATATAAAGTAATTATGACTTTTTTCATATATGTCTTAGATAAAGTGCATATAAACGTACGTTGGAAATCTGCTAATAAAACTGTAGATCTTATTTTAAATCTTCAAAAATTGAAGATTAGAATTTGGAAGCTTTTGCAAAGACTTAAGATATAACAACATATGAGCTCAATCTAATGAAACAGTTAAAAGAGAAAAAGAAAACATAATTAAAGAAGGTATAAATCGATATTCTTTATTGAGTCAGTTATATAAAATCAATATTTTTTTAAATATAAATTACACTTTTACTTTATAATTCAAATATCGTTTATATGGTTTTGTAAAAGCTTTATACTCATTTAGATAGATTACACGCGCAACGCGCGTACCATAAGACTAGTATCATAAAAATCGAAGGGAATGAATTAAAATACATACCCCTTTCTCACATAATTAACTAAAACAACAAATTAGGAGATAAAACTAGGAGCAAGAAAAAAAGAAAAGGAAGATCATTAATGCCACTAATATACATTTTCTAGATAAGGATGAAAATTAAAGTGGATAAAGTCATGTTATGACCATGTATCACATTTTCAAGGAATTATCTTCAAATCCAGAAAATTTTAAAATATCTCAACTATTAATTAGTCCACACCCACATCTTAGTATAAAAAGCTGAATATAATTTCTTTCTTTAACCACATTCAAGCAAAACATATTTACATATATAGTATATATCTTGCTTCAAAAGGATACACATCAACATACACTAGTACTTGCGTTTTCACAAGGTTTTTACCTCTTATATAATATTCTATAATAGATATATTAATTCTCTTTCTATGTGAAATCAATTGTTTATTTACTTTGATGCCGTAAATATGTAGTGTCCTACTATATATGTCATTTTATCATGATCATAGTATTCTCTTCATTTATGCAAGAAAAATTATACTACTACTAATTATTATGCTTCACTTAATTTGAAGTGGCCTCATGAACATTGGCAGATATATAGAAACGTGGGTTCGACAGCAATCGTTGTTTCTTTTTCAAATATATATATGTAGTTTAACTATAATATTTTAATCTAACATCTATATTTTGAATTTTTTTACATATGTAGAAGCATGAACTCCTTCATCAATAACGTGGTGTTCATAATGGGAGCTACCGGAACTGGAAAATCTCGTCTCTCAGTTGACCTCGCTACTTATTTTCCAGGAGAAATCATTAACTCTGACAAAATGCAAGTGTAGTAGGGACTTGACATTGTTACAAACAAAATCACAGACGCTGAGAAACAAGGTGTACCGCACCATTTGCTAGGTAAAAACTTATCTTCAACTCAGTATTTACACCAAACTAATAAATAGTAATTTAACTTCAATTTTCTGCATTATTTGCTAGGTGAAATTGAGCCCGAAGCTGACTTCACGGCTGAAGATTTCTGTTATCAAGCTGTTTACTACATAGAATATGTGTTGAATTCTGGCCATATTCCTATAATTCCTAGAATATGTGTTCAAGTTTAAATCTAACTACAATTGTTGCTTCCTTTGGTTTGATGTTGCTCTGCCTGTTTTACGCTCTTCTGTTTCCAAAAGAGTTGATCACATGGTCCATGCAGGTCAGTTTATAATTCTCTTCGTTTTATATATATGATGTTCATTTTGGTGTTCATTAACACATTTACCTTTTGTATAGGTTACTAAAAAAATAAGAATTAGCGACGCACAAATTAATCTGTAGCTAAATAGAAAAATATGTCGCTAATTCTATTTAGAGACGAATTATTAATGATTTAGCGACAAATTAACAATGGAGTTTATAGCTAATTCCATTTTTTGTAGTTGTTAATCGTAATTTATAAATAGTTGTCTTTTAAGAGATTTGACATTTACAATGTGAAAAAATTGCTATTATATCAAAAATCTAATAAAATTTGAGACGTTCTAAACTTTTTTCTTTTCGTCATCTAATCTCACCTGCAATTATCTCATATATGAAAAAGTATTGACTACATGCATGCATGGAACGTGCACAATCATTGTTTAAACGTATTAGTGCCATGGTTAATTATATATGCATTAATTTAGTTTATTTTAATTTTTCTGTTTTTAATCAAATAATTATTGAATTAATTATGGTGCAGGGTTAGTGGATGAGGTACGAGGAATATTTGTTTCTGAGGCAGATTATACCAAAGGAATCCGACGATCCATTGGTGTTCCAGAAATGGATAGGTATTTAAGAGAGGAAAACAAATCAAATATTGATGAAGCAGCTAAACAGGTACTCGTTGAATCAGCCAGTGAAGAAATTAAGCTGAATACGTGCAAATTAGTGTGTTGCCAACTTGAGAAAATTCGACGTCTGAGGAACGAGAAAATGTGGCCAATTAACCAAATTGATGCGACCAATGTGCACAAAAAATCTGGAAAAGAAGCTGATGATGTTTGGAATGAAATGGTGAAACCTTGCTTGGAAATTGTTGAAGAATTTCTCAAAGATGATGAGAAGAATGTTGAGGCAGAAACCAACATTAGAACTATGTTTCCATTTAAGAAGCTGCAAGTTGCTATCTAAGATTTTCATTAATGTGATGTTGTAATTAGTGGTTTTTATTTCTTTTATTTACTAGTGGCTAAGTAAAGGGAAGGGTAAAGGAAAGGAGGAGTTGAGAGAGGGTTTAATTTTGTATCTCGTGAGACATATATTGTTGAACCACTTCTCAATATATATATATATATATGTCACGACCCCGGTTCACCCTCCGTGAACCATCGTGACGACACATAGTCTTTACGATTAGGTAAGCCTAAACTTGCGGAAGATAACCAAAACTTGCGGAAGTAAAACAATTTTAAAATAGAAATAAGGCGATAACAGTGTTAAATGTGCTGCTCGGTGTACACCATATTTATATAGTCTCAAAACCAATATCTAATTTCAAGACCCGAAAACCCACGAATCACAAGCTAAGAGAAGGAAAAGAAAGAATGAATAAGAAAGGAAAAGGGAAAAGAAAAATGAAAAGAGAGAAGAAAGAGAAAGAAAAGAAAAAAGCAAAAGAGAAAAAGAGAAAAAAAAAGTAGAAGAACAACAGAAGAAAAAAAAAGAGAAAGAAAAGAAAGAGAAAAGAAAAATCACAACAACGAAGTAATTTCTATGACATGAACTACGTTCGACCTGATTCCTTTTAAGGATACGTAGGCAACTTCATGGTTCGGTCTCATCGAAACAAAAATCCAAAAATCCCCAAGCAAGAAACTGGGGCAGAAGTCGTGTTTGTTGTGAGAAACCTGATTCCGAAAGTTGTAACTTTAACCTATTTGAATTATTTTGAGCCTTTTATATCCTTTCCTTCTAACCCTGTCCAAAAGCCCACATTACGGTCCAAAGAAAGACCTTCTGATCAGTCTTTGAGAAATGCCAAGTCGAGCAAGTAAGGCGACAAGAGAGAGTCTTGTTGGTGAAAACCTTCACAGACACCGTAAGGCGACGGGAGATGAGAGAAATAAAAAGGAGAGAGTCTTATTGGTGAAAACCCTCACGGGCACCGTAAGGCGAAAGTGAGTTGAGAGATGAACGAATGAAAGAGGTTTGCTGGTAAAAGCCTTTCAAGGCACCGCAGGACGAACAAAGTCAAGGTTTGGTTAAAACAATCAGGTCATGGAAATTCTGGGGCAACGAAGTATGGCAACTGAAAGTTGATTGGTTGGACAAATTGGGCCGATTAATCCGAAATGCATGTCATGATCATTGGTACCAGTTATTCCACTCAGATAAGTTTCTTTTTCTTTTCCTTTTGTAGCAGTCATCTGATTTTGGATTCTTCTTATCCTTAACCCGCAAAGTTATTGCATTTTATTTTCTTTTGGGTATTTATCTAAAGATGTTTCAATATCAGTCTTGTCAAAATCAAGTGAAAAGGATTTCAAAGCTCACTACCGACTTCCAAAAATTGTAAAGCACGGAGTGGTCAAAGCACACTAAGGATAACATGATGTAAGAGAGGGTACAAGGAATCGCCGGAAGCTTCATCGGTGGAATGGATTGGTAATGGCATGGGAGATGCAAAGGTTCAGACAAAAAGGTCAGGGGTAAAACAACAACATGGGTATAGAACACTCGGTTCATCAAAGGTTATGGGGTTTGAAAGTCAGTCAGAAAGTTAAAGTGGTTCAGGGCCAGTTCGGAGAAGCCAGTCAGAACAAAACATTGCAGCAAAAAGATCTTCAGCAAGAATGCCATCAGCTAACCACTGCTTTAAATTGACAAAATTTTCTTTGATTCAAACAGTGGCAGAAAATTCGTTTGATCCGGAGAAGCTCTCCGTAGGGGAAAAGAGCAAGCACCAAAACAGGTTTGACCGTAAAATTTCAGGACCCTCCTGGAAAATGGGACCTAGTTTAAAGTTCAGAAATAGCATAATCTAGCATAAATGTATCCCAAAGGAATATAAGTTGGTTTAGAAGTTTGCATGCTTGAGATAAGAATCAATTAAGAGTTTTCAGGACCCTCCTGAATAATGGGACTTAGCTTTAAAATTTCGATTTAATAACAACATTTAGCATAAAGTCTGTTGTCGGGTAGTATAATTCAGCCATAAAAGTTGTCACTCTTAAGATAAAATTGGACTTTTTGATTTTCAGGACCCTCTTGGATAATCGGGAGTAGTTTAAAGATTCTCTTGGATAGCAAGATTTAGCAGAAGTCACACCTGTAGAAGATATAATTTAGATTTAAAATTGTCGTTTAGTTAAGAGTTGTCAGGACCCCCTGAATAATGAGACCTAGCTTTCAAATCCTTAGTAATACTTGGTAATATGACTTAGTTTTACAATCACATCTGTCCCCAGCCACCAAACTGGGGCAGAAAATTTTCTTTATTTTTGTCTATTTTGTTGAAATCAGGTACCTGCTTGGAGAACAGGGAGAAGACATTCAAGTTGAAGTCAGGAGCCCGCCTGGAGAACAGGGAATACTTTCAAGTCAACAATCAGGATCCCGCCTGGAGAACAAGGGTGTACAATTTAAGTTTTAGTTTTCAAATTCTTTGCTTTGTTTATGTTGATGTCAGGAGCCCGCCTGGAGAGTAGGGAATACATTTCAAGTTAGCAGTCAGGAGTCCGCCTGGAGAGCAGGGAATACATTTCAAGTTAGCAGTCAAGAGCCCGCCTGGAGAGCAGGGAATACATTTCAAGTCAGCAGTCAGGAGCCCGCCTGAAGAGCAGGGAATACATTCAAGTTCAGTAGTCAGGAGCCCGCTTGGAGAGCTAGGAACACATTTTCAGTCTGCAATCAGGAGCCCACCTGGAGAACAAGGGAGTACAATTCAAGTTTTAGCTTTCAAGTTCTTGCTGATATGCGGATCCCGCCCGGATAGCGTAGGAATACGTTCACATTTTGAAGTCAGGAGCCCGCCTGGATAGCATGAGAATATGTATCAAGTTCAGCGGTCAGGCAACCACCTGAAGAAGGGGAAGACATCTCAGCCTACAATTCATGGGGACAACAAATGGATATCACCTAGAGAATAGAGGATAACAAGGCAACAAGAAACACGAGAGCAAGTTTGAAGACCTAGATAGGATTTTGTAAAACATAGATCATAGTCTAGCTTCTTTTATTTTTGACATGGTGTAATAAGGGGTTCAGTAAGCAGTAGCAATAGCAACAACAACAGTGAAAGCCCAGCTTCATGGTAGTCCCAGCTACCAAACGTTCCTGAACTACACTGACCTGATTTCTTTTTTAGCCAAGGATATGTAGGCAACCTCAGAAGCAGGGTGCGGTCAGCTCTTTCAAAAATGCTTCCCACGGAGTATTCAAACGGGCAAAAATCGCTCGTATCCGCTCACTTATCTTTGCACGAAAACTCTTCGTGTTTTCGGGCAAAGAGGGGCAGCTGTGAGTACGTGATTTTTGCCCTATATGTTTTACTCCAACAAATTCAAAACAAAATAATTTCTTTCAGTGTTTGCAATTTTGTTGGATTTCGTGGCATTTTCTGTTAATTGTTTGCATTTGTCTGTGCACGTTTTATGTTATTTAATTCATGAAAAATACAAAAATATATGTTGCATCTGCATTTAGAATTTAATTTTATATTTTAGATTGATTAGCAAATTAGTTTGTTTTAGGAAAAAATGAAAATCACAAAAATAATTCCTTTTGCATTTTACTTTTTAATTTTGAATTGTATAATTTTTCTTTAAATTTAGGATTTAATTAGTTATTGTAAATAACATGATGAGTGATTAATCTAATTGGGTAGGATAATTTAGTTTAAAAATTATTATTAATTAAGCTAGGATTTATTGTAATTTTGGAAAAAAGAAAAAAAAGAAAAAAGAATTGTGAAAATGAAAAGGAAAAGAAAGAATAAGAAGACTAAATCTGGGCTCAAGCCCAATCCAACCGTCCCAGCCCAAACGGATAATCACCCAATACCCGGCCCAAACCCATGTTTTGACCCGGTCGGTTTCCCCCCCAGTACCATACGACGTCGTTTCATTAAGATTGATCTGGGCTGTTGATATTGCCTAATCCAACGGATCAGAACCGGAGGGGGGAGGGGGGTGGTTAATATATATATGTCCAAACGCTACCCTACCTTCCCTCATTTCATCGTTCCAACACCCCATCCTCAGAAACCTACCCCCAAACCCTAGTAGCCACCCCAAAATCCCACCACCGTCCTATGGCGGCGCCACCTCCGATGACCACCATATTCACACCTTAAACTCCTCATTCCTTCCACAATCCCACTCCATAACCAACTTCGTTCGAACACACTCAGAATCCCTCGAATCTGAGGTTGAAGTCACAAACCCTAGCGCCGCCCTCATTTCCTCCGGTGCCGCTGTTCACCACCAAATTGACACCATAGAATCGCCATGACCCCCTGGTACCAAATCCACACTCCGTTCCCCTCGAATTTTGCTAGAACATCTCGAATCTTAAGTCTAAGGTTCGAGCCTCAGAAGCTAAAGCTAAAGCTGCGCATGCAATGGTGTTTTCCCAGTTCTTATGAGTGTTCTGGGCCAGTTCTACCACAGAATGGTATTATTCGGTAAAGAACAAGTAGTTGACGATGTTCAGGGTTTAAATCGTAAAGTCAGTCGAAGGGTCGAGCCCGAGTTGGTGAGTTTCTTTCTTTCCTTTCGTTTATGCTTGTGATTCCTTCATATTTCTTTCCTCTTCTCTTCTTCTCTTTCCCTCCGGCTAATTAAAATAAAATTGAACGAGTTTTCTAGCTGAGATCGAGTACTGTCCATTTTGTTCCGTCTCAGTTTTCCGTTCCAAGTTGGTTCTGTGATTTTTTGTTTGGTCGGTCTAGTTCTTTTGTTGACAGCACGATTAATTTCTGATTTTATTTTGTTTGTTTAGCGCTGTTAGTTTAATTAGGATTATATGACAATTTAGTCCCTTAACTTAGGTTTAAGTTTTCTGAAAGTTGTTTTAGTTATTCCAAAGAAGTTCGAATGGATTTCTTTTGAGCCCAAGTCTGATTTGATCATTGGATCATATGACCCATGACCCAGTTAAGGTCTCAGGGGTAATAAACATGGTTGTTAAGG